ACAGCAGCTCTGATTCAAAATAAGAAGCTTCTAGTTCCTCTTAATTAAATTTTGTTTTTCTAGGGGTGGAGGACATTTTCCATTAACCTCTAACTGGATCCCTTTTCTCCTCTTGAAGTACATTTGGCTATGAGAATATAGGGACCCACGACAAACTCAGAAAGTAGTAACACTATGGTTTCAGACAACCGATGTAAGGTTTTACTGGAGCATTTTTTTTTGTGACCCACTCTTAAAGTGAGGATAAATGCTGCACATATAAACTGCAGACGGAGATGAGGATTGATCTCAACTACAAGTTCATGTTAAGATGCAAGTCTACCCCATGGGAAAAAAAAGTAATTGTGTACATTAAGGGGCAGTAGCTGGAAAGCTCACAGGCCACTCCCAGAGCAGTACCATGGTCATTTAAGGACAAGACTCTGTCAGGCATAAATACTCAGGATAAATGCTCTCTTTATTCAAACTATTGCAGACTTTTGATAATCTAACAGCATCTAATAAGCTCTTATTTGGTGTGGACGTAGGAAAAGGATTCTTTTCTCTTTCCTAATCTTATTTTTTCATATTATAAAAGGAATAGATTGTCAGTGTGGGTAAAACACAAAAGTGTGCAGCTAGAGATTAAAGTTGTCCAGAATCCCACTAAACAGAAATAACTGCTATAATATTTTAGCTCAGTGTTTGCTTTCTTTTTGAGTTGGTATATAATTATTTTGCATAGTGTTCTGAGAATATTATTGAACTCTTGGCCCTAATGCTGTAGGCTAGAATTTATTTTGGGGGCAGGCTCTCTTCTCAAAACAGCTACTCTAGTGAGCCCGCCCAGCAATACAGATACAAATTAATCAAGATTTTTCCCTATACTGTAGCTTGGAATACTGGGAAAGCAATTCTGCTACTATCTCTTTTACTATATTACTAATAGTTGTAATACATGGTAATCCTAATAAGAATGGTTCCATTTTCTGTAAGCTACATTGTGTTCTGTTTTAAATGCACTATCCTATGTAATCCTCTTATTAACACTGTGCTGTGTTCTGTTATTAGTCCCATTTTGCAGGTGAGGATACCAAGGCTCAGAGAGGATAAACAACTTGCTGAAGGTCACAAGTAGCAAGAACTGTTTCTATTTTTTCTTATTGATATTTTGGAATTCTTTACATATTTTGGATACTAATTCTTTGCTCATTGTATGTGTAACAAATACCCCTTCTTGGTTTGTATCTTACGTTTTTATATTTTCATTTTGCAACATAGAAGTTCTAAATTCTTAATATAGTCAGATGATTTCCTATTTTGGAGGATTCTGGTCTTAACTGGTATTTGAATATGTACTTCTTTTGATCATTAGTAAGGGTTCAATGTCCAATCCAAGTGACATAACCTGGATGAGTATAAGATTCTGCATACTTGTGTATTCCACCAGCTGTCCCAGTCAAGGTTGACCAACGTAATTTCCTATTCAACTCTTCATATTCATTGGTCATTTATATATCGTTTTGTGATTTTTAATGTTATTTGTCCGCATTTATTATAGGTGTTAATGCTTTGTCATATGTTGGAAATATTTTTCCTGGTATTTCATCATTAGTTTTAAAATTTTGCTTAAATTGGTATGAATTTACTGAATACTAAGTATCTAATTACTTTTTTTCTTTTTTTTTATGGTACTGGGGATTGAACCCAGGGCCTTACATGTGTTAGGTAAGCACTCTATCACTTGAGCTCCTCAGCTCCTAAAGATGTATTTAAACATATTTAAAGCTTTTATTCTTTCTTTTCCTATTTATTTTTTTTCCATTCACACTTTAATCCATGTGAAATTAATACAACTATAAAGAGGTAACACGAAACAACTGTTCCCTCTTTAGTCACTGACTTGTGGTACCATTAAAATCAGACTCTAAAATATTTCAGGGCTGGACTTTGCTGTGTTAATTATAATTAGCTTAACAATTTTTGTCCCAGGTACATATTTCATCTATCATCTTTATAGTAGATTTACTTCTCGGTAAGACAAATTCCTTTGATTATTCCTTTTTTCCCAACTTTCTAGGATCATCTCAGAAAAGTCATTCTCTACCGGTCTAGTCCAGTAGTCCATCTATTTTCCAGATTGTTGTCATGTAATCAAGACAAAGCTGCTTGATTTTCAAAGAACTAGAAAACATGAAACACAATTATCATTATGTTTCATGGGTTCAGGAGGAACTGTTGAATGCCCCTGGATAAGAGCTTGAGATAGAAATTAATTCTGTATCAAAGAGGCTTGAGAGTGTAGTGGTAGTGCTTGGTACAATGGTTTTTGTTTTGTTTTGTTTTGTTTGAGCCAGGGCCTTGCAATGTTGCACGGCCGGTCTTGACCTCCTGGACTCAAGTGATCCTTCGGCCTCAGCCTCCCCAGTAGATGGGACTACAAGAGTGAACCACCAACCCTCAGCTTTGATACAGTGTTTGATAGAGGCTTGCTATAGGTGTGGGTCTGTCACTCTCAGCCAATGTCTTCTAAACCCACAGGACCTACCAAAATTCTGTTTCCCCAGTGAACGATGAAGAACACAGACTTTCACAATGCTACTTTTTCAGTATAAAGTGAAACACCTTGACTCAGGTATCAGTGGATCTGTTTGCGGTGAAACAACAATGTGAATACGAATCAATGTGGGTTGCCCTCAGCATCTTTTCCCCATTAGGGATATTGTAAAAAGATCTTTCCTTTGCTCAGGGCATGGCTGTTGAGTTTGGAAAAACTAAGGTCCAGTGGGGAAACAAAAATCCAGCTGGATAAAATGCTATTTGCAGGCAGGGCTAGTGATTCTGGACTCCAGAGGCCACGCATGGATGGGGAGGAAGGCGTGGAGGTGATGTGTTGGGGAACAGGGCAAAGGGCTCTGGTATGGAGAAGCTCCCAGGCTCCACTCCAGTGAACATCAACGTGGCAAGGCCATACTGGAAGGAAAAGCTCTAGTTTCTCATTCCACAGTAAGAAAATCAAACCTCAAGGAAAAAGTTGGAATACTAAATCCATGTGAGTCCTTATAAGTATAAATTTACTATAAAAGGGGGGCTCTTGTTGTGAGTAGTAGCATACGTCTACAATCCCAGCACTCTGGAGATGGAGGCAGAAGGATTCAAGGCCAGCCTGGGCTATGTAGTGAGCCCTTGACTCAAAAAGAAAAAAAAAAGTATATATTTCTTGTGTTTGTGTCTGAGTGCAGATGAAATTCTGCCCAGTTTCAGCTATGTCCAGGGTCCTTATGCCATGTTAAGTTCCAGGCACAGGAGTCAGGAATACTTGAATAGGAAATTACATTGGTCAACCTTGACTGGGGACAGCTGGTGGAATTCACATGTATGTAGAATCTTATACTCATCCAGTTTATGTCACTTACTGCTGTGATGCCTCAGTGACTCATCTACAAAATAAGGAGGCATACATCTATCTTCTTTCACTCCAGAAATGCTACTTTATAAATAAAACACTGCTTGAAAAGTGCATTTGATAAAGCAAGGAGAATTTTAGTGGCTCTATATGCACACTTTTGACTTGCTCTGAAGCAAGAATGAAATAAATTATTAAGGGGAAGGAACAGTTGGGCAAAACACCAACATGGATCTTGTAAAATAGCCATCTTTGATGACATCGCACCAATACTGCTACCCAAAGTGTCATGAAACTTAGCAATTCCACCTGCAGATGAATGATTCTATTAGCGCCTTTCTCCCGCCTTGACCCCAACACATTGTAAAATGCAGTATTTTGCATGGCCACTTGTAGATATATTTATCAAGTGAAATGACTCACCAGAGCAAATTAGTAGCTGCTGAAAGCAAAAGGAAGACGTAGCTATAGGTTGCAAACTAAAGATCTGAGACAAAGTGGACTTGTAGAAATATATATTTTGAGTGCCATAATTTTGGATGGCATTATGTTGGAAGATGTTTTAAATTGTCAACATTTAAGAACTGGAGATTTCACATGAAAGCCAGTGAATATGACTAATTAGCTGTCTCCTTTTCCACACAGAACTGTTCTTCTCTCAGTTTCTACTATAGTCCACACTACTCTCTATTGTTCTCTTCTGGTTCTCATTTATAATGACGAACTGGTTATTTGAGTTTATAACCCATCTGGCCACCCTAGCTTATAGTCCCTGTCTCAGAAAACACCAAAGAATTGGGAAGGGAGCCTGTGTTCTAGATTAGGCTTCAGAAATGGAGTTCTTGGATCTTGAAGAAAGTGAAGAGGCTTTCATTTAATATGACCATTGTCGTACTAAATTACTCTGGTAACCTCTAAACTCTTACTAAAGGAAAAGCATCCCATTTTCCATGGAAACAGCAACAAGGACTAATTGCTCTGCCCACCAAACTTTGCAAAAATGAAGCAGAATACAACTGTGGTAGCCATGATCATATTACATCTTAAATAACTGAAAATCTCAAAGGACTTGTTTGTTATTACTGTCCCTTATACCTGTAGGGCAGAGGGCTGGGCAAAGCACATGCGTGCTTTAGGACGAGGTGATAGTATCAGCAGGATGGCCGTTTCACAGCATATTTCCTGGTCCCCAGTTCCTGGGCAACTGAGAAAAAGGCCCTTAGTGAAGCCAACTATGTACACAGTGAGTGGGGAATACTGGAAGGTGCTAGGCAAGTGGCAGCAAACTAGAACTTCAAAGGGCTTCCCTTGTTTACCCCAGCCAGTGCTGAAAGTTGAGGTCGGTTAGTTGTTTCTGGCAACTTCCATGGCATCTGCATGACCTGCCTTGGTAATGGTGCAAGTCATCTCAAGGACTTTATGTTCTTCCCTGCAGAACAATTGCTCAGTGACCCTTACAACCATCTGGTAACTGTGATTTGCCTTAAATAGATGACCTCAAAGAAGCACATCTGACAATGTCACCCAGAACTAAGCCACAGACAGAGCCTGATAGCCTTTCCCAAGTAAGAAAACTGACCCCCACCCCTCCAAAAATAATGAATGGAATACGAGATTGATTTGAGTATTTTATTTATAAATGTACATTTACTATAAAAGCTGTTGCATTTTTAGACAACTTTTTATTGTATTTTTAATCTTTTTTTTTTACTATTTCTCAGAGGAATTTTGTAAATGAAAGTTAGTTTAATTGATACAGAACATTGGCCCACCCAGAACAGTAACGTCTTTTGGACGGACTCACAGAGGAGATGGATCATTTCAGTTCGTTAAATCTTACACTGTGTATAGATAACTAGAACACGCACTGCATTAATAACACTACATAGAAAGAAGGATGAAATGTCACGAAAGTTTGCTAGTGAAAAAACAAAGACTCACCCATTTTTTTCTTAGGAAAGAGAAAAGATAAGCTTTTGGCATATGAGAGAAAAAAAGTCAGATGTTCTTCCTTGGGAATCATAAATCACTTACTGTTTTTTAAACAAACACATTTACGTTATAGCTCAATAGAGCAGAGCATTTTTTTTCCTGGGGTCTCAAAGATTATTTGAAAAGAAATAGATCATACTCATTATACTGCATTGGGAAAAACAAGATCTAGTCTGCCGAAGCTGCCATGTAACCGACTCCAAATGAAATATAAATCAAATAGAAATAGAAACGGTTGGCAATTAGAATTTAGAAGATGTTGGAGGCTGTTCTGTGCTGGTGACTTGTGTTCATTATGGGAGAGCACGTTTTGCAGTTGCAGAATGGGGCTTTATTTTTCTTGACTCAATTCTAGCTTCAATACATGTACAATGAGTCTCACTAAGAAATATGTATAAATGGCTTTGTGAAACCAGAAGAGAACGTGCAATATTCATATAATCCTTACATAATGGATGGAGTTCTGCGTGTAAAAAGTATTCTATAAAAATCAGTTATGAATGACCATATTGTACATGTGTTGTGCATCATTTCTGGTAAAGTACTCTGCTAATATCATGCAAAGTGTAAACATCCACATTATCAAAATATTTAATAAAGCATGCAGGTGGTTAATCAAAATACTGGACTGAATCTGTACATTTTCAAAACGTTTTTCTTTTTCTTTTTAGTTTTTCCTTTTTTTGTTTCTTTTTCTTTAAATTTCTTTTTTTTTTTCTCCTATAAAACAGCAAACACCTCCATGAGAAGTCGTGGGAACTTGGAAGTGACTTCATCTTTCTTCAATGCACTGCATCCAGAATTCATCATTGACTATGTGCAACAGCTTCGCAATTTCTAAGGCACAATTTTAATGAAATGATGTATAAATTTCAATCAATAACAGCTCATCCAAATGACAAAGTGGTCAAAATACCTCCAGTGGCTGAGGAAATTTCTTCACCTATATGGAACCCACATGCAAAGAACCGTCTAGCATGGAAATAAATAATTGCTAGCCATACTCAGTAAGACACAGAAAAAATTATTGCTTACATAACAGAAAAAGCATCTACTTGATCTCTTTTTATGCCTATATTAACCTATTAGGAGTGTATCCATAGTCTACATTCACTTATTTGCCATAATTTTAAGGCAGAATAAATAAGCTCCCCTTTCCTCAGTCTTTAAGAAAATAGCCTGGAGATCTAAATTCTGATGGTTCTTAGTCATTTGATTCTTTTCTTGTCCAGCTGAAACTTATCACATGCGGCAGAAAACAAACCAGGTCTCCACAAAGAGTTCCTTTCTAATCTCCATGAGCAAGGTCCAGAATTTTTGAGAGTAAAGATGGCGATGGTGGAGGATGGAGGAGCACATGGGACCATTAAGAGCGGGCGGGGCACAGTCTGATATATAGGTTCTTGCTGATCACTTGCCAGGTCAGGGGCATTTGGATTCTGTTAGGATGGACCTAATGCTTTCCTTCAGGCCCTCCAGGAGAACTTGCAGGCAAAGGTGAGCAGTGTTCACATCTAATGACAGATTTACCTCGATGTTTCATACTCCATATGTCTCATATTAATTAAGTCCCTTAATTAAAGATTCCTAATTGACCCACCACTCGTTTGGACTTTAAACTTCCTCCCAGAGTTTGCAAATAAGTTTGGAAATGATGACTGAAATATTTCCTTTTTGTTTCTTCCTACCCTAGGGCAATGTCCCACAGTGGAAGCCTAGGACATTGCAAGGGTTCTATTTGACGGACCAGCCCCTATTAACGACATGGCTTCCATATTACACAAAATCTAACACTAACCGTGCAATAATTTATTGGTATAACTTCTACCTCAAAAGGTAAGTAACACAAATGTTTTCAGGATTACAGTATATATTATCAGACTAGTGTCTTTGCATTAAAACAAGTGATAGCTCAGAAACAGAGCTCACTGTGATGTTTAGTTTTTCTGAAATGCATTAATTTTAGCTCCTGTCTTAGAAGACCACACATCTCAAATTGCATGTCTTGCACTTCCTGCAGCTCAATTCTGTAAACATAAAATGTTTATTTTCTAGAAATACTAAAACATAAAAGGTTGATTGCGTCCTTTAGCTATTTCCCAAAGAGAGTAACACACTGAAGCCATAAGCCTGTTTGACCATGCTAAAACCTTTTTTCTTAACTATTCAAGATCATTACAGTTCAATATTCTTTTGTATATGTTGTGCAAATGCAAAACAATTCAAAAATCCAAAAAAAAAAAAAAAACCAGGAAAAGGACACTGTGCTAACAAAAGAACAGATACCATCTTGTAGAAGAGCCTTTCAGAAATTAGATGAACCGAGAAATCCCTGAACTTGGGATTTTGTTAAGCAGTTGCCAAGGGACACCCTTAATAAAGAGATGGTCAGTGACCCAGAAGTTTGAAAACCACGTCACAATGTTGTAGGTTGGCCAGCACCTGTGACAAAGAGAACACAGTGACTTTGGTTTGCCAGCATTTCTTGGTTCAGATGTTTAAAAACTTCCCAAATTAACAATTACCTTTGCTAAAGTCTCTTCCCCTTGGGATAGGAGGTGTGTCCCACCCTGCTCCTTAAAGGCTGGTCTGGGGACACTCAGCACAGATATCACCTGGAGTTTGTTGGCAGTGCAGATCCCTGTGCCCCATCTCAGGCCCACTTATGATGCCAGGTGATACAGGTGCACTAAAGTTTAATTCAAGGACTTTGGATTTCCCAAAACCAAAGGATCACCAGTAAGATTTCTACTTTGTTCTCTGGGGCACATAAGCAAGAAGACAATGTTTTTTCTTTCAGTTTGAGTTTTTCTAAGGATAAATCCATTGAAACTGGAGGAATCTGACATATGACCTAGAAATAGGATTACTAGATTTAGCAAGTAAAAATACAGGACACTGAGTAAAACTTGAATTTTAGATAAACAACACATACTTTTTAAAACACAAGTATATTCCATGTGATATTTGGGACATACTTGTGTTAAATCCAGGAAATGGAATATTTAGGATATATTCACACTAAAAAAATTGATGGTTTATCTCCATTTCAAATTTTAAAAATTCATTGTTCATCTGAAAGTCAAATTTAGAACACTGAATTGGGCATCTTGTATTTTATTTGGCAATCTTATCTAGAAATGGTTAAGTTCTATATTTCCCGCTGGAATCTTCACAAGGTTTCTCCTTTCTTTTAGGCACTAGAGTTGTGATGCAATCACAACATGAAGAGACCCTGGGGAGTTCACGTTAAATGCATTTCATGAGAGCGACTGATGCAACAGGACACAATGTGCAAAGACACAGCCATCCAACACCCAAGCACAAATGGCAGGACTAAACACATGAAGACTTGCATCCTGACAGGTAATTTGTTTTGCACTTCCATTCTCATTTACATATGAACTTAAAAACTGTTTATGTTGCTTTTAGGAATTGCATTTTAATATGCTGTTATGCTATTTTTCCCTCCAAGAGAAAAATTTCATTCAACTATGACTAGTTACTTGAAGAAAATTGGATTATGTATTCAGGTTTTATTATTCCACAAAATGAAATTATTTTTGTTTCACTTAGAATGCTTATGATGTAAACCATCCTCTACATCAATCCATCTCCCCTCTTCTCAACTCAGTAAAATAAGAAAAGGAAGAAAAATGATTTTTAGTGATTTCTTCTCATTTTGATTCTTCTATTGCATCTGGGATCTATTCAACCAATTCAGGTACATTTATACCTTTCTAGCCAAATTATTATCTCCTGCACTTAGTGATTCCTGAGGTGTATTTATTTTTCAGGAACTAGGAAGGAAACGAGCCCTATTCTCATGCATGCTGATTGTTCTCCCTGTCAGGTGTTCACTTAATTAAAACTAGTCTAAAATGATACTTATATAATTATCTGGAAAAATAAGCATGGGAGAAGAGATACGGAAGTTTTGAAAAAAGTAATTGGAGAAAATGTGGTCATTATTATTTGATATTAAAACATACTATGAAGTTACAATAATTAAAACTATTCAGTAATGGAGAATAAATAGGTTAATAAAACATAATAAGATATCCAGAAACAGACTCAAATACATGAGGACTTAGTTTATGATAAAGCTAGTATTTCAAATTAGAATAAAAGGGATTTATTAAGTGATATTGAACTATTCAGATAACTGGAAAAAAAGAAAGGCTGGACATCTACTAAACTTTTATACCCAAATATATTCCTGATGATCACATATTTACACGTGAAGAAGAAAGCAAAAACAATTCTAGGAGAAATCTCAGCTAAGTTTACTTATGCCTATGGAGTAGAGAGTGTTTTTTTTAAATAGTACACAAAACCCAGAATCCAAAAAATGCAAAAAAAAAAAAGAGAGAGAGATTTACCAAAAATGGAAATCTTTTGCATGAGAATAAATCACAGAGTAGAAACACCAGTGCTAATGGCCTCAGGCAGCAAATACAGCGAAGGGAAAATTTCCTTCATTTGCAAAGGACTCAAACAGATCAGGAGTCAACAGAAATGGACAAAGGATAGAGAAGCATTTTTGTGGAAGGGGAAATCTAAGAGGTGAAGAAACATAAGGAAAGGTGTTCAAAGTCCCAATTAAAGAAATATAGAGCAAGGCAGTGAGATTTCTCCCACATAATGGAGTGGATTTTTTTTTTTCAGTGCCAGGGCTGGAACCCAGGTTCTCATGCGTGCCATGCAAGCCTCCACCCTGACTTGCACCATCAGCCCAGAATGGAAAGTTTTAGCATTTGAAGATCTCCAGAGCCACCATCACCAAGGAGGAAGAAAGGGGCTTTCTCATGGGTTTTACAGAGAAGGTGTGCTTTCTTCTGAACAATAATTAGGCAACACATCTGAAAATGTAAAAAGTGCATGCCTTTTAACTCAGAGTTGCTACTGCTCAGAACTGTCCTTTGGGGATGCTTTCAAACATTCATCAAGACATGCCTTTTATATTTGTAAGAGAAAATTTCTTATCCTGGATTCAAAAACCTAATTTCCAACAGAAATGACAATGAATCACCCAACTTTTCAATTAGAAAAAAAAAAAAACTGAGATGAAAACAGGCTGCTGTCACCCAGAGGTGGGTGCAGGCCTGTTTCCTGTTGCCATCAGTGTGCCAGCACCTTGTGAAAGAGTCAGATCTACTGTGCTTTTCAAATCTTCCTCAATAGTCTTTCATCCGAACAGTGCCCTCTTCTGGCTCCATGACCCACATGCAACCTGCTCACTGATGTTGAGAAAAAGTGAGAGGATGGATGGTAGGGAAAAAATACTCTGAAACCTGGGAAGAAAGGGCTTTCTTTTTCTTCCTCATGTATAAAAGCAAAATAAACAGAAAATTTAAAAGTATGTATAGTTATTATACATTGCATATATATGTATATATTTGTATATATATTTAGTATATATATTGTATACTATTTATACCATACTTTAAGTGTATAAAGTACATGGTATAAAACCAATTATCATATACAGTACAGGTAAAAAAGTCCAGTTTGATGGCAGAAAGGTCTGTGTTGGAAGTGTTTTGACTTCAAGCTAAATGTATATCATACTTTAAAATCACTTGGGTTTGATTTAATTATTTCCCATTACTTAATTAATAGGCATATATAGCTCTGAATTTATTAAACCTATCTGAGACAGAGCCTCACTCTGGATCCTAGGCTGGCCCTCAAACTCGTGATCCTTCTTCTGGGATTACAGGAGTGAATCACCACACCTGGTTCTAATTTTTTAAAAAGTGTTTCTGCTGATAAATTTTTAGTAGAAGGTCTCCTGCTGTCCAGGTTATCAAGTAGGAGGTTATACTGTGAGTCAGAAGGATCCAGAAGCAAGATGCTGGCTAGTCTCAGACTTTCTAAACAGCAGCTGGGCAACAGCACCCTCTGGTGTCTCCAAAAGAAAAAGGAACCTTTTACCTTGGAGACCCAGATAGAAGATCCCAGGGCCGGCTGCTCAGCAAGTATTTGTTAGGATCTTATTATGTGCTAAGGTATTGGGAGCAGGGGTCCATAGAGAAGTAGAATCCATCATTTTGTCTTCCAAGGTTTTCAATTTGTAGGGAACAGAACCATATTATGCAATGAAACTCCTGAATGTCAGGCTTGGGGTCACTGATGAGTTGGTATTTGATTTGATAAACAGTGGGGAGCCACTCTTCCCATTTAACTGTCTCCAATGGCACTGGCCCTTTAAAGACAGGTCTGAACAAAGGAGCAGAGTTTAAAACTTTAAACCTTCCTTCTGCTCACCAAGATCCCTATGGTGAGCTCAGGCCATATCTCAAAACTGGCCTGCAGTTTTGTTTTTTTTTTCAGTTTTACAAATTTTATTAGCATGTAATAGTTGTACAGGGGGATACACTGTGATATTTACATGTGTGCTTACAATATATCTTAGTTAGACTTACCCCCTCCATCAGTCTCCTTTGTCTTCCTCCCCCTTCTTAGAATAATTTCAACAGGGTTCATTCTTCTATTTTCACTCATGAATATAAACTATATCCACCATATTTACTCTCATTTGTACTTTCTTTATGCCCACCCCTCCCACTTGTACCCATCCTCAGAAAAGACCTATTTTACCCTTCTGTCCTTCATTTTTTTTTAAAAAGTGTATATTGATAGTCCAAGGGGGTTTTGCTTTGGTACTTCTTGGCCTACAGTTTTTGTCTGCAGATGTGTTTATGCACTTCTGGATAAAAAGAATTTATCCACACTAGCAATAACTTCCAGTGAGAAACAAGGGTTATTTCCTTATTGTTTCTTTTACCTCCATCCTAAAAATCCTTGAAGATAGGTGTATCAACTGATGGGGGAAGTTTTTGAATCCCTAAATGGGACCTTAGAAAAGGCATGTGATGCTCCCACTCATCTTGTGTTCACTCTCCATACTCACTCCTCGATCGCAGGTAGCAGTCATTACAGTTCAGAAGACCATTGCGAATCCTAACATCCGTCCCACTGACTGCATCTCCCAGCTGTCCTCTACAAATCCCACACTATGGAAAACAAACAAACAAACAAACAGATGTTATAAGATGTGTGAGGATTTGTTTCTTTTTCCTGCTTACTTGCTGTTTATGTGAATAATACAATAATCACTTCTACTATTTCCACATTTGTTAAGCATATGTTCTGTGTTAGATACAACGTCAGGAGTCAACTTACAGGGCTGGTGGTGTGACTTAAGAAGTAGACTGCCTGCCTAGCAAGTGCAAAGCCCTGAGTTCAAACTCTAGGATGGTTAAAAAAAAAAGTCAACTTACAAAAAAAGTGAAATATATTTTGAGCATGTTATCCTAATTCATTGCATTTCACAGAGGACAATGGTTCAGAGAAATTAGTTGATTTGTCCTGAGGCTGTCAAGTTGGTGAATGGTATTGCATTGATTCCAGAGCATATCCATTTAATTTTGACAATACACTATTTCTCAATCAAGATGGAAGAATCATTTAAAACAGATTACACCCTAGTGGCTTTAAATAAACACTTGGCCAGTGGATTATCAATTAAAACTTGACTTTCAATACCTTTAAAGGCTTTCCAGCATTGTTGCTAAATTCTACCCGATGAGAATTACTAAGGAAGAGCTATTCCATTTTATATTTCCACTTTAAAGACAGTGGTACCCACAGGAACAAATCTGTTGGGAATGGAATTCCCTTTAGCTAAGTTGACCTGAGTACAGAAGGGGATTATGAGAGATACTTTGTCATTTGTGCCAGAGAAGGTGGTACTGGGGAGTTGGTCCAGGTGCCAGCTCCTTGCCTGGGGATCAAGACCCAGCACATGTCTCTTGATCTAAGGACAAGTAGGGCAGAGAGAGGCTTCATCCAAATTATGTTACAAGTTATATCCATACCGTGTTTGGTCTATGACAAGGCTTGTTTTCATGTGATTACTGGTACAGTGTATTACTAAATTAATAATTTGGGGATGATTTCACTGACTATCCCTTAGCTTATGGGCAAAATTATTTTACTTATTTTACAGCCAAGGAAGCTACCAATAAGAAGTAGGACAGAATTCAAGAAGGAAAAAAAAGAGCATCAGCATTATGCAGAGAAAGAAATGACTCTTATTTTGAGGTACACAGATATTATTTTGAAAGGTTTTGATGACTGGAAAAAAAGTAATGCTGACACAGTAAAGCTTACATATTTTATAGTAAATCAGATAAAACCAGTTAGCTCACCTACTTACAGCAGGAAATCTGGTTCTAGAACCAGGGCTTATTTGTTAATTCATTCATCTAAACCTATTTTTTGATGCCTACTCTGCTAGGTACAGAGGAAATAGTGGTGAGTTGGAAAGATAGACATGGACTCCCTTAAGGGAGTTTACTGCTTATTGGAGGAGCTCAATAATGAACAAGAATCATAAAAGGATCTCAGGGCACCTATAGCAAAGGCAACTGACCATGTGTAGGTGAGCAGGCATCTTCTCAAGGGAGTGACATTCAATCTGAGGTTACAGACAAGTCATTCCCAGAGCTACATTTTATAACTAGCTATACCCACTACTTGACAGTGGAAGATTTTCCTTCTATGAGATCAACAAACAAAACCCTTTGACATGAAATCACAAGAATTTAAGAAACAGTAAGGATGTTACATTTCAAATAAATACACTTGACCTAAAAGATTTGGAAGCAACATTGTCACTCAGTGTCCCATCCTCAGCTTCCTGCTAGAGTATACACTCTTCAGCAACAAAAAAAATTTGGTAAAGTCATTGGACAAACCTATTTTTCTTCTTCAAACTCAACATTTCAAGGTGGATTCGGGATGGGAGAACTTTATTCTGAAGGATGGAGTCCACCCACACAGCCAGACCACATAAGAAAGGCCTTTAGTTTCCAGGAGGTATTTTTTACTTTTTTAAAACTTCTTTGTATTTATTTATTTTTATTGTTGTGCTGGGGGTACACTGTGGCATTTACAAAAGTTCTTGCAACATATCAAATATATCACACTTGAATTCACTCCCTCCACCACTCTCCTTTCGCAGGAAGTATTTCTCAACACAGGACAAGGTTGGAGGACACGGAGTGACACTTGCAGGGAAGGATGAGTACACACCCGGAAACACTGGATGTGAAAGTAGAGGTCCAGAGACTCGATGATCATTGCAGCGCCTTTTCCCAAAGCGAGCCGGCACGAGGAGCACAGCTTCTTCCCGCTTATAGACCTAGGTTAAAATGACATGCAACAATAAAATTGTTAGCTTAGCATAATTGATCACACATACAAACATAACCTCATGGAAAAATGAAAACATGGGTTTTCACAATGCTTGTATCATGAGCAAAATGAGAATTCCTGAGCTGACAATGAATAGGAAATGAAGCATTAGATAATCAATGGCAAACAAGTGTTAGACTGACTGTGAGCGGCTACCACTGCGGGGTTGAATCTGGTGTGTGTGTGTGTGTGTGTGTGTGTGTGTGTGTGTGTGTGTGTGTGTGTGGTGAGGTAGCCTATTCAATTCCCAGAATGATTCAGTATATTGATCATGTGTTTTTATAAACTTTAAATGACAATCACATTTAGCTCTACTAAGGCTCCATTGTTGCTTTAACATTTTCCATAAAATGTCCTCTGACCTTTCAGGGCATTTTTTGTTACTTGTTAAGAAAACAACATTTTGTTTGTGACACAGCGGGGCAGGTACCAGGCAGAGGGCCCCAAGACGTGGGTGGAAATCCTGAGATGTGCTGTAAGAACCCACTTTGGGTTTCCCTTCCACCTGTAGGACCAAAGGGCTTGATGAGCCGTCTCCACTGCAGCTTCCAGTGCAAACGTGGCATCTGTCATTTGGGGACTTACCGCCTCTGTAAGTTTCAAGCCCCTTAAGGGGATGGCTGCATCTACCTCCTGTCCACCCCTGTAGCCTTCAGAACAGAGTTCACCAGTTGACCAGAAACAAACGCAGATACGAGGTGAGAGGACACCGTCAACAACCAGCTGAACCTAGATGACTGTTCTCTTAAGGAAGACTCCCCACAACTAGGGACAGGCAGCACTGAATCCTATCATCTGGGAAGCTCTGCGGATTTCAGGAGACGTCTTAAAATATGCCATTTGAAAGCCAAGGTGGTACAGAGGGACAGAGGCAACAGAAAGGAAGACATAGAAAAGCGGAAGAGCTGTCCTAATCAAGCCCTATTTATTAGGGTTTCCCTCTTATCTGGTAGTTAAATGAAATTTCTCCATTAATGAAAACTCAGTCATTTGTCTTCAGTGGATGGAAACTCAGGCAGCTTTTAGGGATATCATGGGACTCAATTAATGTCCAGAAGCCATCGTCAGAGAGCTAGAGTAGGTTAAAAGAGAAAGATGGAGTTTCATTTCCCAGTCCCCGCCCAGATCCCCTGCAGCAGCCATGCGGATCCAGCCTAGAAGGGCAGCCGTCTTGGAGGGAAAGGCGCCTATGAGGAGCCCGACAATCGTCTGGTGGTTTTTATTATTAGACTGCAGGCCCCACACAATGTAATTAAAGCCTGTGACCATGGCCACGCCAGCGTCACACACTTGACTTTTTCTACCGCTGGCTTATGAGTCTGCAGGCAGCTGGGGAATGTTTTCCTTACTCCTGCCTCTGTGTGGGGGAGAAATGTGGACAGACAAATCCCTCACAGTCATATTGCAAGCACTAATTCAGCTGGAATCACAGCCGGCAAGTTCTAGAGGGAACAAGCAGCCTCAGGAAGGCTTGCTGACCTCTTGTACCTGTTTGGTGACTGGCCAGGAGGCGTGGGAGAAGAGGGGGACCAGGGTCCAGCCTGGAAATTCTCTTGAGGACTTTTCCTGTAACATGGTAAAGAAGCCAAAAATTATGACAGTGAAGAGAAGCCCAACTCCACGGGAAAGGATATTTTAGAACAAATTAATCCCCAAAACTTTCTGGGCAACCAAATCAGAAATGACAGAGTTCACAGAGTTCTCTAGTGTTTTGTTTTGTTTTGTTTTTTGAGACAGGGTCTTGCTATGTAGCCCAGACTGGTCTGGAACTCAAAATTTCCTGCCTCAGCCACAGTGCTGGTATTACAGGCATGTACCATCACCCCTAGCTTTGTGATTTTTTTAAAGGACAAAAATAGTAATTTTGTCTCACAAGGATTATTTATACACAGCTGATATGAAATCAAAACCAGGCTGGCATGCTGACTTTGATGAATAGAAAAGGGCAGAATAGTTTTTCAATTTTCATTTTTTTGTTAAATTCTTCTTTAGTTAGAATTGTCCAACAGATTTTTTTAAGTTGTTTACCGAGCTGATTTGCATGATGAGTTAGATATAAAAATTATGGACTTGGTAGGAGGACAAAGATGAATAGGGACACAGGGGACTCTTAGAGAAAGCCCAGAAATACAGGGCAGATCTTTAATATATATATACACACACACACACACACACATCTGGCTTTTTGAGACAGGGTCATATTATGTAGCCCAGGCTGGCTTTACACTTGTGATTCTTCTGTTTCCATCTCCTGAGTGCTGGGATTACAGTCCTGAACCACCACAACTGGCTCAAAATATTTAACAGTCATTATGACATGGTCAGTGAAAGTTGGAATGGTCCCCAGCATAGTTGTACAGGTACTGTGGTAGCATGGGAGTCTGGTTTGCAACTGAGTTGTCAATTCTGGACTCTGGCTTCAACAAGTTAATTTCATTTGTAAAGAAAGTGCTAGAACACAGAAAATGACACGAAAAGAAAAATACCAACACAGGTGTGAATAGAGCACCAATCCCTTTCTTCTAATGACTATTAGTCTAACTCTGAGAGCCCCTGGCCACTGTGACCTCCCTCCTCAGGCAGTGCTGTCTTCTCTAAAATGTCACATGCAGTCCGCTCCAGTGTAAGTGCCACTTTTTTTTTTTAAAGGTTGAGAATCACTGCAATAATCAACAACAATGAAAGCACCTAAGAGATTCCAACTTCTGTTGATTCCGGTATCACACACATCTAGAAATGAAACTAGCAGGCCTAAGAGAAAAGGGGGACATGGTCCAAAAACTGCACTGAGGTAAAGGAAAACCAAAGAAGAAAATGAGCTAAAAATGAATTTTTCCCTTGTAACCCAAGTTATCATCATCACCACGTACATTATATACTACTTATTATTTGCAGGGCACGGAACCTGGTGAGGCAGGTACTATTATTCCTATTTTATAAATGAGGGAGGCAGAGAAAAAGTAAGCTACATTTGAACCCAGGTGGTCTGGCTCTAGGGAGAATTATTGGTTTAAGCATAATGAATGCTATATTTTTGAAACTGTGATTACACGGAACCTCTGGCTTAAATATGATCTTGCTGTAAAACTAGGGGTTCACTGAGAATCCCCTACCACTTAACCAGTGTAGTACTTTGGGTAAGTTTTTAACTTCTCTTTACCCCATTCCCTTATCTGCCAAACGAAAATAGCCTTATAAACCTTCTTTATGCGGTGGGGTTCAGTGAGTTGGTTTATGGGAAATACAGTGCCTATTATACAAAAATGTTTCAAAAATGATAGGAACTACTATTATTGTAAAAATAAAACACTTCTTACAAAATTAAAATGTAGCCTGGGATAGAGAACAACAATTTTTTCATGAAGCAGTATTTGTCCACATTCTCTGAGACAATTTAACTCAAACAAATGATGAATACAACAGACTTGCAAATTCTTTCCAATATTTAGTTTGTGGGTTAAGAATATAACTCTCCTCTTATAAATCGATAAAGTCACAGTGGGCATTTACTTGCCAGGAAGCCTGCTTCAAACATTCATGAATATTTGTTACTCAAGGAGAATAAATGGAAACAGAGCACAAATGCTGCTACATGTTGCCATCTCACACTTGTTTATGTTTTCCCCTTCTAAGTCAACATACTTTTTTTTTTCTAGTTTAAGGGCTTTATTTAAATTTTTTTTATTGTTTTATTATTCATATGTGCATACAATGCTTGGGTCATTTCTCCTCCCTGCCCCCACCCCCTCCCTTACCACCCACTCCGCCCCCTCCCTCTTCCCTCCACCCCCTCAATACCCAGCATAAACTATTTTGCCCTTATCTCTAATTTTGTTGAAGAGAGAGTATAAGCAATAATAGGAAGGAACAAGTGTTCCTGGTTGAGATAAGGATAGCTATACAGGGAGTTGACTCACATTAATTTCCTGTATGTGTGTGTTGCCTTCTAGATTAATTCTTTTTGATCTCACCTTTTCTCTTGTTCCTGGTCCCCTTTCCCTATTGGCCTCAGTTGCTTTTAAGGTATCTGCTTTAGTTTCTCTGCATTAAGGGCAACAAATGCTAGCTAATTTTTTAGGTGTCTTACCTATCCTCACCCCTCCCTTGTGTGCTCTCGCTTTTATCATGTGCTCAAAGTCCAATCCCCTTGTTGTGCAACATACTTTTTTAAAAGGAATGGCACATCCATCTGATTTGTTACTCACTTCCGCCGTTCACTTGGAGACTCCATCTGATGGTTAATGCTTTTATCCAGTGGGAGGGTTTTTGGCTTTACGTCTTCGGACATGTGCGTTGGTGGGTTTGATGTCTGCTGATTCTGGGGTGGGTCTGAGGCCAAAGAAAGAACATAAGCTTTGTGCTCACTAAAGTCACCTTTGTGCCTTGTAAGTCACCTTTCTTTAAAGTGCTAACGCTTGCTGAGGTCTCACAGAAATTTTGTGTGGGCTGTGGGCACACAGTGGTTGGAGAAGCCAGTGTAGTCACTGCACTGTGAGTTAGTTCTGGAAGCAAAGGGAATCTGGAGCCAGGCTCTTTTGCCTCACTGATTTCCAATGTAATAATAAAAATACTTTACAAAGCTAACCTGTAGGAGCACCTTCCTAGCAAGCATGAGGCCCCAAGTTCAAATCCTTGTGCAGATGCAATTATAACTTGGAACATATTTTCTAAATCACAGTAAACACCACTGTCTCTGACCCATGGATCTCTGACCCAACTGTGATGTGGTTTTAAATCCATAGGACACCTGAACACACTCAGCTTGTAGGATATTTCTGTATGGAAACATACACAAGTCTATGAGTATGTCTGATTATCAACTTCAGGTAAATATATGGATAAGCAATATGCCCCAAATCCAAGGCCAAATTCATTCATTGCACCATTTAAAGTGTTTATTTGCTCAGTCAAATTTGCTTTGGCTATAAACACATCATCATGGTCAGCCTTTTGTCTTCCTAGTTCACCCCTCCTGTTCATATAATCCTTCTACCTCTAGAATAAGTCAAGAACTATCTGCCAGTAGCAAATGCTCTCAACAGTTCTGGAGTGGATAGTGGCGAAATGAAAGAAACAAACAAAATTAAACAAATAAGCTAAATCCCACACAAACACAAACTTCAAAATCCAAGAGGGGCCAGGATGTAGAGACCTTGAGACCTTTGTGGAGCTGACATGGGAAACTCTGATATCTAGAATGATCCTGAAGATTTGTGACATGTAGACTTTGATCATTTTGGTGAGCAATACATTTGAATTTTATTGTGGTAAGCCTGGAGTGTGGGAGACACAGGTGAGAATGAGGGAGGCATGAGGAGTGGAGTTGATGAGATCTTCCTGACCATCCTATACTGATATCTCTACCCAGCTTTGTAGAGTCTACTCCTTCATAAGCATTTTATGGGGTGATATAATGTCCAATTGTGGAATTGGGAAATTTGAAGAAGTCTCAAAATGGACTGTGTAAGGAGGTCCAAGATTTTCTATAAAGTTATATTTTTTAAAGTGCAATACCTCTCAGGCCTCACTGGGACCCCAATGACAAGCAGAGTCTTGGCACATGGTGGTGGGATTTATCCATTATATATTCAGTAGCAGTAATGATTCGGGACCTTTATGGAGGTTAGATCTGTCTGGACCATGTGAGGGTCTTACTATAATTTAAATATTGTGGAACCACAGAAGGTGGAATCCCTTCTTCACTCTTACCTTGAGCCTCTGTATCCAGCTGATGATCCCGACAACTTCCTTTTGACATGGGGCTCTCAGCTTGCTCTGAGAGCCCTTGAGTCAGGCTGTTAACAAAATATATTTCAGAACAGAGATTAAAGCAACTGGGTTGAACTCATGACCCTATCTTTGAAGGCATGGAAGTACCAATTCCAATCTGAAAAAAGAAATGGAACTGTTTACTTATCCTTTTTTTTATTTCAAACTAGATTTAGAATATTATAAAATCCTACACATTTTGATATACATTAATTTCACAAGCTCAAGAAATGATCATTTCTGATGTTCTTACTGTCTACAAAGCTCTTCAGTCTATCATTTCAAGGGATGGCAGAACTAACTAGAAAGTGCCTAGATAGTCACAAGACAGCAGTTATTGTAGAAATCAGTTGGGACTTGTAGGACATTTGCAGCCTATGGTAATTCACTGGGGTTTCAGTGGCTTCTGCATGCAAAGAAAAGAAAGTTGAAGGAATTATAAGGAAACTTTCTGGAGAATAGCAAGCATTCTATTAAATGCCTGTCTGGAGAACTAGCAAAAATGCAAACAAAATGTGCATCATCTCAATCTTCCTGACTAGTGGTTTGCATTTCATAAACCTAGAAAGTTCCTTTAAACAGAATTAATTAGAAGCAAATGTTCTCATTAAAACACAGCATAGTCTCTGGGCACAGGCCCTTAGCTCCTAAAATTTACAGTTCACCTAGTCTTCTAACTGACAAGCTCAGAATTCTGACAGCAAAACTCCATCAGGACTGCTCAGCTCCAGCCAGCCTTTTACACTGGCCGGTCTTTGAACTGACACTTAGTCTTTCATCTTTGGGTCCTTCAGGGATGCTTACACATGTGCAGATGCACGGCATACTTGCTGATACCAGTCTGGAATCTCAGACCCCAGAGGCAAACATCTGGCTCATAGAGAACTCACTGGCAGAGCACTGCCCGCTCATCAATAAGCCATAACCTACCCTGGCTATACCAGCGTGCTCCAGCCTGAGCTGCTCTGAGTGCTCCAGGGGTTTCTTGCTCCTTTTCTGATCTCCCATGGAATGTACTAGAGCATATGGGTGAGGTGACTACCCACAGCCAATTAATTAGTTGATTAACCTTTATATTATCACCCAGAGTAAATGTGCTCACATTGTAGGGGATAGTAACAGTTAAATTCAGGTTCACAGTGGAACCACAGTAGGTGGGACCCCAGGACCTCATTTCAGACCTCGCTCCCTCCAGACTCATTCATCATTTCAGGTGACTGATGCTTAGGTTTGGGGATGTGAACTGACAACAAAGTCCTCTGATGATCTATACTGTTTTCCCTGTATTAAATAAAAGGTTTCACCTATTTCAAAATAAGGCTATTTATAGTCAAGAACACAAGGACGCTGACTTCAGAGCTATCATAATACGTTCAAGCAATGTGTAATGTATTCCTGGAAAGATCGTTTCAAAGCTGAATATGATTTGCATTAGTAATGGGTCCTCTTTGTGGGAATGAATGGGCAGAGCCAGGCTTTGTGAATTCTCACAGCCAGGCTGCTGCAGGCTCCTACCTGCCCTTCTCCTCCAGGGGACCACTTTCCCTAGTCTTGCACAGTATGTCACTGTCATCCTCCTGGAAAGATTTCTTCTGTCTTCTCTCTCTTTCTTCTTCATGACAGTTGCTCAAATCCATCTTATTCTAAGAGGAAGCATAAGAGTAATATCGAATATAATTTTTAAACACATTGTACAACATTTCCCTCTGGCCATGGGACACCTAAGGCATTTTTTCTTTATTATTGTTATTATTATTATTATTTATTATTGTTGTTTTTAAAGCACAAACTTTAAAAGTTATTATTAACATGTGCTAATTGCACAAATTAATGGGATTCACTGTGATGCATACATTATACATTGATCATATCCATCCATCCTTCTACTCCCTCCTCCCATGAAGCATTTTTCAGTCACATTTCCTACAATTTAAGAAGCCATCCAAATTAACTGGTTCCGATGGTTTCTATTTAGAATGTATAAGGTATAATAAATACATAAGCTCTTTCAAAAATTATCATAAAAGAAAATTGGTTAGAAAAACCTCCCTTCAAATAAGACAAAGTCATAGGGCTATTTATTTCAGTTCAAATGGCTTTCTAGTATCCATGGGGTATTTTATTTTATGCAGATTGTGGATGATGCAGGTCTTGGTATGACTTCTGTCTACCACCCCGTGACCGTCATGGGGCATGTGACCTAGACCAGCCTTTCTAGGCTCTTTTTAGCCCTTGAAAGCACATGTGAATTTCTTATGGTATCTTTGAGGTTAGAAACCACTTTTCTGGAGGCTGGCTGGGAATATATTGCAGGCATCTCTGCTGCTATCAGACAAAGCAAAGGAATACATGGCATGGCTGAGAGGAATAAATGTGTGTTGAAGGAACAAGTGATCCAGGAGCCAGGCAGTGAGAAGGACATTCCAGTCTGTCTGGGTAGATCTGCCGGTGTGAGGACTTTACTGCTCTTCAGGAAAAGAACCTAGTGTTTGGCCATGGCTGTGACAATACAATAGTGCACGGTCATGTAGGAGCTGACATGATTCTTGGGGAACAGTCACTCCTGGATTTTAGCTATCATATTTGATAGGAAAAATTGGCCTTGTGGGTTTATCCTTCTGTTTAGGTTTATTTTTGTTACAAATTGCTTTGACTCAATTATCTCACCATTGTCCCACTTCCTTCTGTGATAGAGGAGGATGTAGACAGCTGGTCTGCAGAACTTGAAGAAACAGTAAATGGAACCACAGTGTCTTCAATTATCTTACGCTCCTAAAGGAATGGACAGGACCAATGAAAGGTGGGAAAATTAAAAATCGTATTTGTCAAGAGAAAAATTTCAGTAAGGAACTTCAGAATATTATAATACACCTGAATATGTGCAAACAAGGAGGGTATTAAAAATCTTTTCCCCAAAGCATAAAAATCATATAAAATTCTTCATGGGGAAGAAGAACAAAATGTTATCATTCACAGGTAAATGGATGGAACTGGAGAACATCATTCTGAGTGAGGTTAGCCTGGCCCAAAAGACCAAAAATTGTATGTTCTCTCTCATGTGAGAACATTAGATCAAGGGCAAACACTACAAGGGGATTGGACTTTGATCACACGATAAAGCGAGAGCACACAACGGAGGGGAGAGGATAGGTAAGACACCTAAAAAACTAGATAGCATTTGTTGCCCTCAAAGCAGAGAAACTAAAGCAGATACTTTAAAGCAACTGAGGCCAATAGGAGAAGGGGACCAGGAACTAGAGAAAAGGTTAGATCAAGAATAATTAACTTAGAAGGTAACACCCACACACAGGAAATCAATGCAAGTCAACTCCCTGTATAGCTATCCTTATCTCAACCAGCAAAACCCCTTGTTCCTTCCTATTATTGCTTATACTCTCTCTTCAACAAAATTAGAGATAAGGGCAAAATAGTTTCTGCTGGGTATCAAGGGGGTGGGGGGGGAGAAAGGGGGGGTGAGGTGGGTGGTAAGGGAAGGGGTGGAGGCAGGGGGGAGAAATGACCCAAGCATTGTATGCACATATGAATAATAAAACAATAAATTAAAAAAATATTCAAACAAAATTCTTCATGGGAAGTAGTTTAGAAGTTAGCATTAAATCTAGAAAAACAAAGCTTGGATTAGCGTGAGTCAAGAAGCCTAGTTAAGAAATGCTACCGGGGATGAGACTATGCACAAAAATTATTGCTGAAGTGAAATTTACAATGAAATTGATCATTAAAAAATTTTAGATAACATACCCAAAATGGAGCCCCCTTCAAATTCTCTAAGGTGGTCTAATTTGTTCATTTTAAAACATAAGAAGAAACAAAACAAAATTCTCTTCTATAAAGTTCTTTAGTACTTTATAGCAAATATAGTCAGTAAGAAGGATATATTCATTTAGCCTTGAAACAAAAATTATCCTACACAATTAGTTCATTACTACTAAACGTGCTTGCTACAAAAAGCACACACACAAATAAATGAGTTGATTCTTTCCTGTCATCTCTTTAAAACAGACTAAGAATCAGACTATGGAGAACAGATGTAATTACATTGCATTTTTGAACGTGGCTCAATACACCCTACAACAGCCCATATTTTGGGGGCACTGTGGTCTTTTAGATAGCAGAGAATATGACACCCTTTTGCTTTTTTGTGGTACTGGGGTTTGAACTCAGGGCCAACAACTTGAGCCACTTCACCAGCCCTTTTTTCTGATGGTTTTGTTTGAGATAGAGTCTTGCAAACTGTTTGTTGGGGCTGGTTTTGAACCGTGATCCTCCTGATCTCTGCCTCCTGAGTAGCTAGGATTATAGGCGTGAGCCACCAGCACCTCTTAAGGAGGTCAGTGGGGCTCTGCTGTGAGTGAACAAAATCAGACTTAGCCACATGCACACATGCCACAGACACAGGAGGTGGTGACAGGCTTTGAGGAATTGGGACGGCAAGGTCACACTTCTTCTTGGGAATTTCCTACCTCCTCATAGTATCTGCGTTCTTCCTCTTCCACCTCCTTTTGGGCCTTTTCCCACTCTTCCTTCAGCTTGTCCTGCTCCTTCTGGTATCGCTCCTGTTATGGAGTGTCCACAGATTGTTTGGAACTGACTACTGCATACATCACTGGGATTTTTTTTTTTTATTCCTCTAAACTACCATGTGCAGTATGTTGCAAGATTATCTTCTGTTGGAACATTTGGAATCTGATTGATTCATACCATAAACTGGGGAATACTGCCCTGTGCTACCCAATGTTTAGAAACATAAAAATCCAGTGGAGAGTGGCTATTTTCTGCTGTTGTGCTTTCTAGAATTACTCTTTAGATAGAAAAGTAGAAATTTGCTTATGGGAAGAGGAAAGATGGAAAGATTTAACAATCTTCTTTAACTAGGGTTTTGTCCTAGGTAGGCTGAACCAATAATTTGCTTTAACTGGGTCCTTCAACGGTGAGTTTTGCCACTTAAATGGAAGTATACTGTTCGCCATGGACGTAGCTCAGTGGTAGAGCATTTGCCTAGCATGCTCAATGCCTTGGGTTTGCCCCCAGTACTGAAAAAAAAAAAAAAACCCACACTGCTTCAGGAGAGTTTAATAAAAGATTCTATAGAACCTTGTAGGTTTACAAGATAGACAATGAAGAAAGGTCCAGAGTGGTCAGATGAATAGCTGAATTACTCTGTCTGTCACCATCATACCGAAATGAAATCTATCCAGTGTATGGTAACTTTGAATTAAGAGCAGCTTTTAAAGCAATTACAAGGCTTCCTTCCAAATCACACCTTCCATCTTTGTGTTCATAAACAGTGCAATCTAGTCACCATTTCTAGGGGACAATAAGATACTCTAAATAAAGATGGTGTAAAAAATGTGACTGAACTCCCTGAAGTAAGTGCGGATTAAAATCAACACTTGAAACAGAACTGCCACCTGGATGCCCTGGGAATGGCATCTCGACATGACAGAAACAAAAGAATTATGGGTGTGTGCACACAGACTGTACTATTTAGGCTAGTGATTGTCGACCCTCTCTTTGAGGCTGAGGCAAGTCTGCATGATTTTCTGTGTGGGGAAGGCACTGAGATTTCCCCTTGGTATTATCTGTTATGTCACTCTCTTAGGAGCAAAAGGAAGGACTTCATTGGGATGTCTGGTGACTGGTATTCTTATTAACATTCTAGCAAAACCACTGTTGGTCAATCAATGGCAGGCTCTTTAACTCCATGATAAAAGTTATCATCAAAACTGAACATTGTAAAGTTTTAGAGCAAGACATCAGGGGCTTTTCAGAATAGAGGAAATAGACCCTAAAACTACACAAAGGCTGAAAAAAAGCAAAGCTGCAAAATGAGCCACACTTCTTCAGCTTACAGTCTTCAGGAGCTCTCATTGTCGGCCTCTCTCACCAAGGGGATGAACAGAGGAAGCGAAGCAAAAGATACAGCTTGTCTGACACCCTTCCGACACACTTTTCCCCCACAAACACTTGGCCCACACCCCACAATGTCACACTAGAGAACAAATGAGCAGGACAAGAGTGACACATGTGTATCACCCAGTGCCTGTGTCCTTAAGCATGACCATCCTACAGAGTGCAAAGATGGGACACACACTTTCCTGTCTTCTCTACTCTGTGACATTTGTGACTCCTGACTGTCCACCATTTAGCTGGGTGGTGAGCACTTGATTTCTAAGATGAAAGCAGGTGGTCAGGGTTCCCAATGAACCTAACAGTCCCCAAAGCTCTGGAAATCAGGTTCTTATTAACATCTTGGTGTCGAAGGCTGAACCCTGTACAGTTTTCAAAGGTGCCAAACTTAACTTCAAAGCTAATGCCACACTACAGTTTACTATCAAAACAAGTTCTTTACCCCTGAGAGTTAGGCCAAAAAGATAAGAACAAAAGCAAAGAATTAAGTGAAATAAACTTGCATTAAGCATCGCTTTCTAATACAGGAGCAGAAAGTCATTAAAACTAATGAGGTTTGACATTTTTCTCCTCCACAAGTTTTGGCAACTTTGGTTCTTTGGGAGTGTAGTAAGAAGAATTGGGGTTTTAAAGTAAGGTAGATTTGGATTTGAGTCCAGCCCAACACTTCTTAGCTGTGTGACCTTGGGTTATTAACTTCTGAGAGACTTAGTGACTGAAATTGTAAATGGGGGTTAAACAGACTTACTTTGAAGGATTGTAGGAGGATTAAATTAGCTAAAATATGTCAAGCACCAACCTCGGCTCCTGCCACATCTCAAATGTTCCACACATAGGTTAGTTTCCAAGGTTACAAGGTTGCTTTTGGAAGTTCTGTTAGTCCATGAAACAGGCATGACACATGATAAATTTCCTCCCAGAATTTTTCTAGAATTGATAATTCAGCAGCTTTTACTCAAAGATGGAGCAGACATTTCTACTTGAAGAACTAGACTAAGGCCAAATTTTATTCTACCTGTGTGCTATCAAATGGCTTTTGGATAATTCATTCTCACTGTTCCTTGAACTGAAAGCTAGTGACCAAGGAGGCTGATGAATGGGTAGACTGATCCTTAATCACTGCTTGGAGGTTTTTTAAGTATTAATGTGAATGGCTTTTCCTTCTGGTCCTCACTGTACCCTCTGGCAGGAAGAATTAGATTTAGAACACTCTGCTGAATTGACAGATACACCAACTTCTGAGAAGTTGGTAGAGTCCATCTGTTTCTTGTGCTAACAGATCTATTCAACGCAACATAAATTAAGAGAATTGTCTAAAAGAAAAGAAGGGAAAGCACCAAATCCAGTCCTACCTGGAGCAGGCGTTCCTGTTCCTGCTGCCATTTTTCCTGTCGCCTGCGCTCCTCTTCTGGGTCCCATGCCCAGAACTTAAACTGCTCAGAGAAAAACAAAACAAAACCATGATCAGAATGGAGCCACACCCTCACGGACAATCCAGCCTGGCACTTAAGCAGCACAGCCACAGAAGCCTTCACTTAGTTAAGTGCCCTCTTTGGTGGCAGAAACCATTTTTGAAACATAGTCCCTCTTGGTTCCGAGATGCTGAGATGATTCTGTGAGCCTTTTGGGAGCTAATGGAACCATGAACTAACTGGTCACAGGCCCAGGCTTTTTTTCTCCTAGAAGTGGAATCTTAGATACCTTTACCCTCTTGAGCATAAGATGCTTACTTTGCATGTTGGTCCCAGACCCAAGTCAACCAGACCAGATATTTCAGCAGAAAAGCATTTTTTGGAAAGTTTTAGCAAGACTTTATTTTAGTATAACAGGACAAAGTATAGACAAAGGCGGGGGCAGGAAGAAGAGAGAGAAACATTTCCTGTTCCCCACACAGGAAATGGGAGCAAAGACTCCCAGAAATGCATTTTGTAAGAAGTAGTGTCCATTGCACTATAAAACTAATTTGTTACACCGCTATTGCTTTTTTACATCAGCTTTACCTAAAGTGGGTTATTTAACTCACTAATGCTCACTCAGACAAAGGAAACCCCTACCCTGGGCCCAGTGTAACAAACACTCAAGCACCAAAACTTAAAAAAAAAAAAGGTAATAGAAGGTTTCAGCAGGTTTAGGAACCAACTGAGTGAACAATAATATAGTCAAAAGACATCTGAAGTGTCTCAAGGAGTAGAGAGCCTGTATACAAATGTGAAGTCGCAAGTGTGAAGTCCTGAGTTCAAATCCCAGTCCCACCAAAAAATCTTTTTGATCTGTACTAAACATGCTGACTTTTACTTCTTGTCACTATTTCATCAACAGTGGTATAACAAGTGTTTACATATGATTTACATTGTATTAGGTATTGTAAGTACACTAGAGATAAGTAGATGTGAGGGGTTCTATGCAAATACCAGGGCATTTTATATAAGATACTTGAGTAGCAGAGGATTCTGGTATCTGAGGGAGTCTTGGAAGCAGTCCCCTGAAGGTTCCAAGGGTTGACTGTAATAGGAGAAGGATGTGTACACAAAAGCCACAGCATGGCAGAGGTACAGGAGGGAAGAGAAATCACAGCCTGCTTCTGAAAGATCAGCCAAGGAAGGACGGCCACATTTCAAGTCAGACACCCAGTCACCAGGGTAGATGCCTAGGCAGACCAAGCTCACCAAACACTGCACTCCTTCCTCTGTTCAATGGGATAGTTTGGGAGGCAAGTAAAACTGCCTGGGAATTTTTTGGAGGTCCTGGGGTTTTGAACTCAGGAACTTGCACTGTCTAGGCAGGTGATCTACCACTTGAGCCATGCCTCCAGCCTTTTCTGCTTTAGTTATTTTTGGGATAGGTTCTTGATTTATGCCCAGGCTGGCTTGAACTGTAATTCTCCTATTTATGCTTCCCACATAGCGTGTGCCACCATACCCAGCTTTTTATTGGTTGGGATGGACTCTTGAGAATGTTTTTCCCAGGCTGGCTATGAACCATACGTCTTCAGATCTCCACCTCCCAAGTAGCTGGGATTACAGACAAGTGTACCATGCCTGGCCTGCTTGGGAAGCTTGAGTAGCAAAAGGGAAATGAAGGTGGGAGAGTTAGAAAGGCATGGGAGAGGCTAGGCAGGACTGGGTAGATAGGCAGAAATCTACTTGTACTGGCTGGCTGCAAAGCTGGCTAGGGTCACTCCTATCCAAGGTTTTGAAAGGTCCACTTACTGCCCAGGACACTTGGGTTGGGCCACCTTCTACCCTGACCTGCACCTAACAGATCTGTACCATCACTCAGGTGCAGTGGGAAGGGTGTCCAGCCAGAGACCATAGGCAATGATAGATTTATAACTTCATAAATATTTATCACTTTAGATAGATGAAGTGTGGGTCTCATTTTGTACTCTTGCTATGGTTTTTGAAAATGGTTGGGCTGATCGTGATGTTCACAGAAGAGTAAAGAAACATGGACCAAGAAGATAGAAAAATATACTTCTCATTTCCAAGTCATGGGATTCACACTGCACATTTGAATACTACAGGCTATGGCAAGTTAGGTAGAGGGAAAGTAATCAACTGCACATGAACTTAATTTTCCCAAATTTGCTTGGATGCCATCCAAATGTGGATCGTAGATGGAAACTCTACTGGAATTTAATGGCGTTGGACCTTGGCCCCACACATTCTGCTAGGACTTGGAGGCAGTTGATATTTTCAGAAGCTCTCTCAGAGCATGGTCCTTTTTTGTCTTTTGAGAGAAAGGGGTTAATAAAGCCATAGGGAGACCAGTGAGGAAAAGTTCAATAGAAGGAAATAAAATAATTAGTAACTCTAGTTCTCAGATTAGTCTAAGTAGCAGTCTCAAGAACAAGTCATGTAAGGAGTGGGCAGACAGGAAGAGGAAGTATGGGGTTGGGGGACTGAACACAGAAACAAAGAATATGCATTAAAAACCAAGGCAGAAAAGCAATGAGCATTTGAGGAGGACTATAAAGGGGAAGACACCAGCATGGTACAAAGAAAATGGTGATCTCATGTCTTCTTTTGTCAATTATTTGCTAAGGGTAAGCGAGGATAATTTGCTGAAGGTGAGTGAGGATGGTGGGCCGGGCACTGGAAATGCCAGTTCAGATAAAATTCAGCAACAAGAAACTCCCATTGCATCACGTGTCTTGGTATTTCAACCAGCAAATGCCTTCTCATTTCATTGGAACAGGAAATAGAAAACATTTACAAGTAATATAATTCAAGATATGATTGTGAGAAAGGGAATGACACAGACAATGTGGATCTTCCAGGGAAGTCCAGGCTGGGTCCTGACTGCCAACAATACACTATGCTGGAGCATTGTTCTTATTTTTTAAAAAATGAGCTTGAATGTCTACAAAAATTATCTATTGTTCATTTTAAGTGCTTCTTTTAGGTTTTACTTTCCTGACATATCATTTTGTATCCAGGCATGAGAACATCTTCATCTAATGATAATCTCTCTCTCTATAATTTGGCTGGTAGCATTCAATTATTCTTTTAAACTCAATTATTTGGATCCCCTTTTTGGTTGAATACTCTTTAAGAAAATCAAATACATTATAAATTAAAGGCACACTAAATGTATGCTCTTATTCCTTGAAATGAGTTACTTACTGGTGTAGTTACAGGTGACTTTTCACTGCTCGGAGAATCCGCTAAACAGAATAAAAGAAAGGAAAAAGGATATCACTGTGAGTATCTTCTAACTGTCTTTCTTTTTGATCCTCTCAGTGGGGTGCAGTTCCTCTGTCAGTTTCAAACCACTTTTTGGGTCAATCAAGAGCATTAGAAAATCATAATAAAGCAGAACCTGGAAGCAAGTTGTACCCATCACCAAAAGAAATGACCAGTGCAGTGTAACTGACCACATCACTTAGCACCAGAGACTAGGAAGCAACGACTATTCCTATGCGTGCTGGTTCTTAATGAACCTTGCCTTCTGGCTGGACTGAAGAGTTCCCTCATGTCTGACGTGGAGAAGTATCACACAGAGAGGCCAGATATCATCCAGGACAGAAAGAAGTGACACAGTTAACAAGAGACCATTGCCAGTTTCTGGTAAATGCTTCTGATCTTTGCTTAAAAGGGGGAAGAGCAGTGGACAAAGAGGTGAATAGTATTGCTTCTTTGGAATCTCAAAATCAACACAAAATTCTACGAATTTTCCCCCACTGGAACTGGTACAATATCAAAGAGCTGGTTCTTTGCTAACTGTGTGCAGAAACAATTTTTTAAAACTAAAGTCAGAAATGAAGAGAAATGCCAGACATCATTGATTGCCCCAACATGGATTTTTGCACAAGAGAAATGCAGCTACCTGTGTACAGTTTACCTGACTGGGAGAAAAACTGGGAACGTCGCCAAGAGTTCTGAACTCTCAGCGGAATGCTGGCAGTGCCAGGCGACTCTAGATCAGATGGCAGAACAGAACAAACAGAGAACAGTGAGACCGGGGTGAGAACTGAACAGAACCATGTATCAAAGACGGTTTGGTTGTGGTCCCCCCAAAATTGAGACTCAGTGACCTAACATACAAAATGTCATACTCAAACACACACAAAACCTGAAGACCTGGACAGAAGTCAATAGAACCAAAATAGTTTTTGCACCTGCTGTCTGCCTGGGTATTAGATGAAAGTTCATACTTAATGGGGATTTTGTTCAAAGGTGCAATCTCAGAATGATATGCAATGTGCTGTAAAAGAGCAAACTGCAGAGATGGGTGGTTTAATTTTGATTTTGTACACATTACACTTTCTCAAGGTGATGTGTGAAAGTCACTGGCAGACTTGTTATGTATAGAAAGGGACGTGCCTATGTCTGTATGTGGTGCATCAAACACACAGAACTCCTGGCAGATGTCTGCATCTCAAACTCTATGCAGTGCTAACCCATCATTTCAGAGCAAATAAAGACTACAGTTTTTATAGTGTGCACACATTTCACTGAAACACAATTTTGAGATATGTTCATACTGTTTCAAGAGTTGAAAGTAGGAAATTTGTCACCTTCCAGTGCATTTTATGACTGTCCTCAGAGTGTATAAAGACTACATTGATGTGTGTGTGTGTGTGTGTGTGTGTGTGTGTTTTGTGTTTAGGAGTAACCTGTGACCATTATTAGGGTTGACAGGTAGACCTTTCATGACCTGTATGAGTGGTCTATAAACAGATGACTTTAAAGAAATGGGGGAAGACATCACTTTCTGGTGGAGAGAGTATATTATTAAGTTGTGGCTTCAGGATCCCTGATTCTGACTCCATGGGTCCTTTGGACTTGATGTTGGATTTCAGACCAGTCATTTAAATGTGTACTGACTTTTTAGATCTGGGCATTCATTTCTTGCCTCCCCTTCACAACCCAGTTAAAGACAAATCATGTCTTTTAAAGTTACAATTATTAGGGCTCTCTTGCTTCCAGAAAGATAGGAACTGCATAAACTCCAAACAAGCAAACACTGTTATTTTCAGATTTGTTAACAATGTCTTTAAGGCACTACTTAAATAAATAAATTCTTCAAGTCAGTGGCTTTTAGGATGTGGTCCCTGGGTCTGTCACATTTGCATCACCTGGGAACTTGTTAGAAGTGCAAATACTCTGGCCCCTGCCCGGACTTACAGACTGGGGCTGGGCCCTAAACCCAGAGGCTGGACTTCTCATGTTTGAGAACTACTGCCTAAGTCATGTTTCTGTAATGTAAGTGCTCTTCTTATGAGGAAAGCATTCACAAAGAGTTTATCTCTGCCTAGCATTTTGTTCTACTTCTACTCCTGCTGCTACTATTCTACACTCATGGGAGTGTAGAATGTCTATTCTGGGCCAAGTACCAAACAAAACACTTTTTAACGCGCTCTCATGTCATGCTTCCAACACTCCTAAAAGTTATATACGACGACTATTTCTACTTTCCAAGTGCTGTGTAGACATCAGGTAGAAATTGGTGGGTAAGGGTACACCACTGAGAATGAGAGAGGAAGAATTTGAACCCAGGTTTCTGTTTTCCTAGCCTGCAGCTATAAGAATCACTTCCCTGAACCAGGCAATAGCACAGAGCAGATGTGCTCCAAACATAATGCTATCTTGAAGAATGCATTTTGAAATTCTCAATTACTACTAATTTGTTAAAATCATTCAACTTGGGTTAAAGCATTCAGTAAAGTCCCTCAATTCAATAACACATTTCTCTGAATCAAAATGCCTTGCTTATTATAACAGGAAATGTATAAATACCTAAGGCAACAAAACTAATTAATATAGCTTAAATATCTAATCCCACTCTACAGTCCTTATTTACACTACTGCAAAGTGCTAAAAACAGGGCAGAATTAAAATCCTAAACATGGCTAATTGTTGGCCCAGCTGGGTTATTTTATTTTTTGTTATTTCCCATCAGGACTGTAGAACTGACAGATTTAGTTCAAATGCCTTGAAGATAGGATTGAATTTGCCTCAACATTAAGAAAGCAATGACTGGTCATTCTTGTTCTCTCTTTAGAGATGACCCACTTTCAATCTATTGAAAGTGTATTCCTTTCCAAATAAGCTATACTATTACTTTCACTGTGAAAATACAGGTGATGACCATCAGTACATGTGCCAATTCATTCCCTCCCAAATGCTCCCTATTTTGTATACATGACCCACAAATCATCAACAAGGGCTAATGGAAGCCAACAGGTTCTGTAACTGGTGGCTCCAAGTAGCTAGTTTCCCACCCTTAAAAAGAGAAGTAATAATAAATCCAAGCCTCAGTGAACCTCTCTGCCTGGAGGGCAAAAGATTAAAAAAGAAACACAATAAACCATACAGTCCTTGTAGCTCGAATTAGTTGTTTCCACACCTAGAGAACTTGTGTTGGTAAACTCCAGTGATACATATGTTTTGAGGAATAATCCACTGATCATGGAATTCTCAGGACCTATCCTTCACTGTTCACATTCCTAAGGGGCCTTCCTGGTAGTAGAGGCACCTGAATTTTCTACTAGAATAAGGTGATTAAAGCTGGCTTCTTAAAGACTAAAGGGGTGAATTTATCATAAGCCATATATGACATCAAAGGTACTTGGGGTCAGTGCTATTTTAAGACCTTTGTAGGACTTAAGCACCCCTATCTTTAGAGGCTGTCCTCTCCCACATTACATCAAACATATTGAATATATCAGACACATTAAAATATATCCTCAGTATTTTATGTGTGTATGAATGTGACACATAGGTTCTGAGAATATATTTTTTAAATGTTTCATATATTTTGTCACTAGAAAAATTTTTTTAGAAAGGGTAAAATTTTTGGATATGAATAACATGCCTAATCTATGTAGTGAATGATTCCTCAGGAATCATTATGCACAATGAAGAATTATCACAGAGTAAAAAGCTTGACTTTTTCACACAAGTATTACTAAATACATATTCTATGAAGACTAAATTTAGAGTTGACATAATATTCTGATTATAAATATTTACAAATGTATTGATTGCTACATTTTAATTGTTTTTTATATTTTGGAGCTAATACAAAAATTGTTTAAGGTCTCAAACACTTTGTGTGTCTATAGTCTTAGCTGACAAAATGGCCTTAGGCTGGGTTCCTCCCATTCTACTACAGCATGCAGCTTCAGTTTTCCATTCTGAAGTTTTTTTGTTTTTTTTTTTGGTTGTACTGGGGTTTGAACTCAGGGTCTCATGCTTGCTAGGCAGGTGCTCTACCACTTGAACCACTCTGCCAGCCTAATACTGACATTCTTGATTCAGCCATCATGGACTCTAGAAAATACTATGGCTAAAGGAGCATCACAGTAAGGAAGGTAATCATCCTTTAAAATAAATAATCTTTTACTACAGATGGGCCCAGAAGAATATGTAGACCTTAAATAAAGCATTTCCTTCTTTTTACCTTGAGAATTGAGGTTTGGCAAATGTAGTTGGTTGGTTTCAGGCATTTTGTCCAGAAATGGAAACGTCAGAGTTGCTTCTGGCTCTGGGGATTTTGGCTTTACTACCTGGACAATGGGCAACAGACAAGAACATTGTAAGTATTGTCCTTTAACAAATGCACAGATAAAACAGAATTTTAGGATCCCTGGTTATTTTCAGAAGTCAATAATGAAACAGTTAATGGAAATGTTTTGTTTATTCCCTAAAGCCCTTTCCTACTTTTCTGCATACAGAGAGAGGTCAATCTTTCAGAGAAATAAAACAGTAGCATAAAAATGTGATGGTCACTTTTCTTCAAACCCAGAAGGTAGAATTCCATTTTGAAATGACACATCATTCTCTCTCCTTTCCTTGTGGATCAGTCACACACTCTCTTTCTGGTATCACACAATGCTAACTTGGACTGTCAGGAAATGAGATGTTCCATATAAGATCATTTAAAACATCTTACTGTGTAAGTGCTAAGCATCGTGATAGTAATATCACCTTTTAATGGGAATTCTTCTCAATACATTACTCAACCCCACCACGAACTTATGGAAAGCACACTAAAGATAATATAGTTTGCCTACTGACAAAGAGGCTTATTGTAAATAACCATTATCAAACAATGCTGCAGCACTGATGGCCTTAGGGAATTTTTGAGGCATGTTAGACTCTTTTGTTCTTATGGTAAATAATTCTAAAATCACATGTTTTAAAAATTCTTATGTTTACTTTGTAAAAAGGGATTTTTTTCTTATTCTTGCTATTGAATTTCATTGGCTTCTCCCTAATCTAATGGTCTTTGGTAGAAGCACCTTCCTGGTGACTTATTGCTACTAATCAATCAACTGCTAAAGACCAGATCATCAAACTTATTGAAATGATGTCTAAAATAAGAATCAGTAGCCTCTGAGCATGGGCCTGAACGAAGAGCATGGCTATCTTAGTCCCTTTGGCTCTCTCAGGACTTAACTCTGATTTCACTCCATGGCTGGAAGCTCAGTTCCACACAGTTGAGTGGGATCACTCATGATCTAAGCAAAAAAGAAGCTAAGGAACACTTATTTCATCTTAAGCTGATCTATCATTTGGTTCTCAGGATAAGTTAATGATAGGATTTCTTCTTTATAGGATTTTACTTTACTTTACTAATATATTCAACCTTAAGTAAATCCTGAATAAAATATAGTCTATCACCTCATTCAGCCTTACTGAGGTCAACCAGATGTCCAAATGAACTTCAATATTAAACATGCAGCAAAAGTAAGGCCTGATCTTATACCAAAGTTGACAATTCTCAAACTTACCCTCATAGGTATTATTTCCTCCAATGACAAAAACACATTTCAGGTAATGCTTGGTTGTAAATGAAACAGTTAATGGTCAGCAGAAATACTCAGAAGGACATGTCTGAAGCAACACTCTCTAGTGAAAACGGGAAATAAATGCTGTTGCAACCTCTGCGATCACCTTTGTCCAAATCTAACTATAGTAGGGAAGGGAGGAAGGGAGGAAGGGAAGAAATTCACATCGTGAAAGGGAAAAGTTGTGGGCTCAAAACCATTATTCCATTTGCTAACTAGCAGGGGTTTTGAATCTGGAGTCCACAGCATGGAATTCAGGGGCTGTGTGTAGTTGGTACAACTTAATAACAAGAGTAACTTGGTGATCTTGTGTATTCTATGCTTTAGAAAATACTATTTACAAGATAGACAAAGGGTCCATGGCAAACAACAAAAACAAAAACCCAGCTGGGCACCGGTGGCTCATGCCTGTAATCCTTGCTACACAGGAGGCAGAGATCAGAAGGATCATGGTTTGAAACCAGCCCAGGCAAATAGTTTTCAAGACCTTTTCTTAAAAAAACCCATTGCCAAAAAAAAAAAGACAGGTGGAGTATCTTAAAGTGTAGGCCCTGAGTTCAACCCCAGTACCCCTCCACCCAAAAAAGAAAAAATAAACCAAAAAACCCCCAGCCCACAAAATAAACAAACCACCAAAAATCCCCCAAAATGTGAGGGACCCCTGAAAACAAACTTCCCCATGGCAGGGTACAGTGACAACTGGTGGTCCAAAGAATGGCTCACGCAGATGCAGAAAGCCAAAGAGCGCTTCTTAGCCACGGTGGTCATTTTGTTTGATGACAACAAGGCTCTAGGAATGATATAGTCTTTCTTTCAGTGTGGATTTGAGTGGAAAAAAAGAAACTATGGGAGGATACTAAATAAACAATGGTTGTAAGTATATTTTGGATAAAACAAAACTGGCAAAGGTGGGAATCCTGCCTGCTCCTACTGTTTGACCTGCAGTTTAAATTGCCCTTTGCAGACCTCCAAACCATCTTTTAATTGTCTATTTATAAAAAGGGGGAATTGAGAGGGTTTAAGATACCCCAGATACGTAAAGGCAATAGGCATTTTAGAGGCTCTACCAAGGACACATCACTCAGCTCTGTAAGGCTAGGGGCCATGTCGTATTTGCTGCTGAATGTCCACTATCTAGCACAGTGCCTGGCACCCAGTAGGTACATGGTCAACACTGACTGAATAAGTGATGGATAAATTGGAGCTAAGCGGTACATTTTTTTTACTTTAAAGTCAAATCTTAATTTAGGGTTGATTTTTAAAGTGGAATCCTACCACATATAGTTTGCCAGGTGTGTAAGGCAGTGATTCTCCAACCTGGTGGCCCATTAGAACTATCTGGTAGGTTTTAAAAATACAGATGCTTGGGCCCTGTCTCCAGAGATTCTGAATCTATTTGGTCTGGAGTGGGCTTGGCAGTTCTTAAATTCTAAAGGGCAGCCAAGGTTGAGAACAACTGGGGTAAATGATAAAGGCTTTTAGATTTAGTACTTAAAAATAAACCCAACTAATGTGAATGAGATGAGACTTCAAACTTGGAAAGAAGAAATTTAATAAGAATAAGGCTTTAAAATCCAGTCTATTCAGAATAATATAAAACCCATTATATTCAGGGAAATAATTTCTAAGTGTTTTGTTATTCAAATCCAGGGACATTATAAAGCACCATTGCCAAAATAACAGGTTAATATTGGAAAGAGATTATTTAGTAAGCTGACAGATTAAAAACCAAGAAACTCACACACAGTAGACCAAAATAAGGCTTTACAATTTATAGTTAAATTACATATTCTTTTAAATGTATTGAATTCTTTAAAAATTAAAAAATAAAATTTCCAAAATATTGAAAGAATATATACCTAATATTATGAATAAAGAGGCAGATTTCCATGATTTACTCTCCCTTTCATTCTATTAAGTGTTTTCATATTTAAAAAATACATTTACATATATTTCAGTACTTGATATGTTTGTGACATATTTATATGTGTACTTCTTTCTCTATTTCTACATATGCTTAATTTTCTACATATAAACTAATTCTTTTACAATGAACATATAATATATCTGCTTTTTAGGAAGAACACAGACTAAAGATAGGAAAAAAGATTGGGAGAGAAAATAAATTGTCATTATTAATATCTGCTACAGTGGCAGGCAGCTGCAGTGGAAGCCATTTTAACTCTTGGATTTAACTATTGACTCCACAATAGACTTCACCTTTTGTGACAGCACCAACTCCACTTTTCCACTCATTTCATTTTCTGGCTTCTGGTCTTCTTGTTCTGGCCCATCGTTCTTCAGCTGGGGACTGGAGGAAAACTCCACCAAGGCCACAGTTGGGCTACATCGAGTCACAGTTGTTGTAAAATGCTGTGCCTCTGAAAGGGAGTTACCCCCAGAAACAGAAAGAAGAAAAAGAAAATCATACAAAGGACCACATTTTTGCAGTGCCACAATGGACATTTAGTCTATGTTCTCCCCCTGGAAATCAGAAGCAGGATTACCGTGTAATGATGGGTGACAAAGTGCCTAAGATGCTAGAATTCTCCAACCTCTTTCAGGATATTATAAAACAAATGTCAACATAAAACCAGACACTGCCCTATGAAAAGCGTAAATTCTTAACAGAGTCATGGTTCACATCTGAATAAAGGGACATGATGCAAAATACTTGATGACAGTTGAGGTGGGACAAGGAGTGTGGTACACATGTACATAAAGCACTGAAAGTAAACTCATCTCTGACATATACAAAATTAGGTGCACTTTAAAGTGGGTAGAAAAGTCACCAGGTAAGGGGGCATATCAAAATGTGGAGACACAATCTAGTTTGGAAAACCATACACTATTGTTTTTAGTATAGCATTAATTTATTTTAAAATGCTGTTTAAGGATAATTTGCTATTGGGGAGGGGAGAGATTTTCACATTTACCAAAAGAAGAAATGTGTGAAAATACTGATAAAACCAAACACAAAAAATTGAGAGATGATACTTTAGGAAACAGAGGGGCTCCTTCTCTATACACCAGATACAGAGTATTTGTATTTACCCATCAGATTTGTGGCATTATTTTGTGTTTTTAAACTACTCACACACGCCAAGGGATGGAACCCAGGACCTCACGCATAGTGGACAATTTTTATGGTGCATATTTGATGTAGCCTTATCTATTGGTTTTTACAGTGTGTCAAAATATGATCTTCAATTTTAGAATTATTTATATGAAGAAATATTGTATTTTTTATGAGGATGAGATACACTTCTATTTTTAGAGCATTCATCCCTTGGGCAGAATTTCCTCAGGATGCCAGTAGGTGGCAGCACCACACCATTTGTAGAGTCTAAGGTCTCCCTTTTGCGGTTCAGTAGAAAAATCACACTTCACCTTGAAATTAGTGTGTCATGAAACAAACCTGATGAGGCAAGCTCTGCACTCCCTTTTCTTGGTTTTTCACCATCATTCTCATCCTCTTGGCTATTCGGTTCCATTTCCTCAGTGGTTTCCTGAAAAAGATTTCCCCCCTTGAATAAAGTATTCCTTTGAAGGTTCTGAAAAGGCAAAAGATTTTTTTCTTAATAGGGATTTTCTGGGCAACATGGTGCAGAAAATGGACCATATGAATTTGCTCTCTGTTTCCTAGGTAGAGTTACGGTAAGAGTCTGTGTTCCCTGGAAGGAGGCGCTCTGTGCAGAAGCACGGGTGGGCACACTCATATTCCCTCTTCCCAGCCCTCCTGTCACAGGCATAGCACCTCTTCTTCAATTCTTTCATCACTGAAGTTTCAGAACTTATCGTCCACTTGCTCCTGAGGCCTTTCAAATTGGCTTAGGGTCACAGCACCAGAGAAGTGGTTTTGTTTTTTAAAGGTTACAATTAACCTATCTGTGGCCTACTTGGGCACACAGTTGCCTGTGGCTCTTTTTTTTTTTTTTTTTTTAATTCTTCACTAGCTTACTCAAGTACATTTATGCAATTACTTTTTGGGGGTGGGGTGGGGAGAGGTGAACTCAGGACCTTGTGCTTGCTAGGCAGGTGCTCTACCACTTGAGCCCACCTCAGCCCACCTGTGGCTCTTAACAGTGAGGATTTTATTACTGAAGTTCTCCTCCTCCCTGGGCTCCCAATGACTCTAGTCCCTCTGTTTCTGTCTCTTCTTCCCTCATGGATTCTTACTGTCTTTCTTTTCATCAAGATATGGGCAATTCCTGAAGATTGAAGCTGGTTCCCATTTTCCTCCACTTGTGCCAAGTCGCCTCAAATATATCAGGGGCTCCCATTTATGACTGCACTTTCAGCTCTGGCCCCAGAGTCCACCAAACCTTCAGTCTGACACAGCTGGCCATCAGGGTGCTGGTAAATGTCTGTACTCAACAAGCTAAACCTCCCTCCATCCCTGACAATTTCTGTTTATGGCCCCAGTATTTCCCATCACACAGATTAAACTTTGACGTGATCTTTGACTTCTATCTCATCAGTAGTCACATTTGCTGAGTCCTGACAAGTTTTTAACACAGCAGTTTTCATAGCCATCTCTTCCCTTCTGTTCATCTTTCCTCCCTTTTTCTTCTACAAAGAGGTCTCTCTGATTTGGACCGCATGCATGGACTAATCCACTTGACACAGCACTGTCATGTTCCTCTCTCTTAGTAGTACCTCCATTGGGTAAGTTTTATGCTTAATAGTTAAAAATAGAAAGCAAGCTAAATGTTCAATAACTGGGGAATGCTTGAATGAATTACTTATGTCCATAAAGGAACCTATTGCACAATCATTGCAAAATAAGATGCTCGGCAGGCCCGGAAGAGTGGAAGAGGGCTGGTCTAGCACACCTGAGGCTCTGGGGTGATCTGTGCACACAAAAAATTCACTATATGTAGCAGATGTCTACATATGTAAGATTGTATTTATGTTTATATACACATAAAAATACCTAATATAGATATTAAATTTATATAAAAAGATAGGAAATACAAAATGTTAATAGTCATTTCTTAGTTTTGTTGAGACAGTTTCTTCCTATGAAGCTCAGGATGGCTTTGAACTCACTATGTATGCCAGACTGACCTGGAACAAGAGTTCCTCTTGCCTCAGTCTCCCAAGTGCTGTGTATATCACCACACCTGGCGATAGTGATTATTTTTAATGTACCTAAATTTTGGATGATAATTTACTTCTCTTTACAAACATTTTATATATTCCAAGATATTCTACAAAGACCATGTATTGCTTCTATAGTGAGAAAAAAAATAAATGTAATTTTGCATTGTCTTTCATTGGGAGGTGATTGACTTTGGAATTAAGTCCAAAATTCTCCTGACACTATCCTAGCTGCTTGATAAAAATAAGTGAAAGGGTAAGTTAAATGCTAGCTGGAATACGTCAACAACAAAAGAGACGTCATTAACCATGTATTTTAGTATAGGTTTCTTATAAAGGGTAAAGTAGGGTTTTTTTGGTGTGTGTATGAATTATTTTATAAATTTTAAAAGGTTTTCATATAAAGGCTAAAGTTGGTTTCAGAAAAGGCATTATTAAATACTTTATAAAATATCCCCATGGGTTCTTAAAAAGCTATGGACTTATTGGTCTCTTATAAATGTATATATTTTATCCATAAATCAAAGTTTGCCTCTCAAGTCACCAAAATAAAAGTCTCTTAAAATGAAATCATTAGTAGAAACTGTCATTGAATTTTTAAAAACAAAGAAACTTTAAGCAACAAACCTACCAAGCTTCTAAAAGATTTTAAAAGAGCATGTAGTGGCAGAATATGATTGGTGCTTTGGAGGGTGGGGTATTTGAAACCCTCATTATTGGATGGGAATTCTCTAATGATAGATAACCCATATATCAATTCTAGAAGAAAATAATATTAAATTAAAATGTATTTTTTAAATCCTAGACAGAAAGTAAGTTCTACATTGATATTATTTAATAGATTTGGTCATTTAAAAAATATGTCAATAAGTCTGAATTGAATTCCTTTAAGAAACTATTAAGTGAAAATAAATAAATTGACGTCTCTTATTATATATAAGAATATGCATGCACGTATATACAGGTGTGCGAGTTTACATTGTTACATTAACCACGGAAGATCAACCAGTTTAGCTTCATAAAAGAGTAAGCTGGGTTTTATCATTTAAAGTAACCTGGCACATATAGAAATACTAATGATAGAAACAGTAGTATTTGTTTTATGATGGTAACATACAAAATGCTGGCAGGAATAGTGACTTTATATCTTTCCCCTAATGGATTAGTTATAGAAACCATGGAGGCTGGAAGATAAATTTGCAGTTTAACGTTGATGATGCTCCTCTTACCCACTGCTATTTACAGTTAGTAGAAATAAATAACAACAAAACGGGGAAGGCTTCCACAGCTTTAAAGTGAACAAAGAAGTGAATATTGTTTACTAAATTTAAGACGCCGTAAACTTTTTTGTGTGGGGGGGGTACTTGGGTTTGAACTCAGGGCCTCATACTTGCTAGGCAGGTGCCCTCTACTACTTCCAAGGGCTCTACTACAGCCAAGCCCTCTGTCCTTTTTACCATTTGTTTATTTTTTCAGATATGGTCTTGCTTTTGCCTGGGGCCAACTTCAGATCTTCTATAGCTGGGATTACAGGAGTGGATCACCACACCCACCATCAATTTTTAAGTTGTATTATTTTAGGTACTACTAAGATAAAACCCCAGTGTCTGTTAAATATGACATACTATGAACTATAAAATAAATCTTGATTTAGAGAAATTAAAATGAGGAAAGTATGCCACTTGGAATCAATGAAATAAGATAGCTCACAAAGTCCTTTAGCTGTAATGTAGAATGCAAACAAGTCCAGATCCTCAAGCATTCACTATTGTGCTAGGATCGGTTTACTGCTCTAAAATATTCCAGTAATATTTTACTTATGCATGACTAACTGAGAACATCTACTTTCCAGAATTCTCACATTTCTAAGTGTGTTTCTATCCAGCTCAACCTGCAAACACTGAGCTCTGGACAATCCAGCTTGTCTTACCTTGAAATGATGGTTTCAAGCTTACATCCTGGCGTTCAATATGGTATCATGAGAGCAGTAACAGCAGCAACTGCAATCAATATTCACTCCACTTACCAGGGGTTAGCACCATTGGGGCAGTTGGCATGGGTAATCTCACCCAATCCTCAGCAAGCTTAAAGGTAGTACAAACATGGTTCCCTTTATACAGGTGCGAAAACTGAGGTCCAGGGGTTAAGCAACTTCCCTAGGGTCCCTTGGTAGGTAGTGGAAACCCTTACCTGTGCTGGTTATCTCCACGCTCCAGCACCTGAGCTTGGAGTCACTGACACCTCCATTAGTCCTCAGGATTCCCAGCTTTGATCCATAAGAAGCAATCAAGTACTTGAGCCTCAAGTTCATTGTTGAAATGATTCAAACTGCCATTTCCTCCTCTACCTCCCACTCATTTATTCTTCAAAAGATTAGAACTCCCTGAGCTGGTCCCTGGACACTCATGCCTGTAATCCTAGCTATGTGGGAGGCTGAGAGTAGGAGGATAGTGGTGTGAGGCTAGCCCAGCAAGAAATTTGTGAGACATTATCTCAAATAATAGCGGTGTGTGGTGGCACACGCCTGTCATTCCAGCTATACCAGGAGGCTGAGATCAGGAGGATCTTGGTTCTTGGCCAGCCTGGGCAAAAGAGAATTCCCAAGACTCCATCTCAACAGAAAAAAAAAAGCAGCAGCTCTCCCCTCCCTTACCATTTCAGCCATGGCAGGAAGCATAAAATAGGATGGAGGTCCAGACTAACCTGGGCAAAAAGCAAGACCCTATTTTAAAAATAACCAGAGCAAAAATAGGCTGGGGTCACGACTCAAGTGGTAGGGTGCCTACCTAGCAAGTATGAAGCTCTGAGAGTTCAAATCCCAGTACTGTCAAAAAAAAACAAAAAAGGATTAAAACTCCCTGGAATCCTTCAAGACGGGAGACTGCTTGAGACCAGACTGCTCCCAGCCGTCACCCCATCCCAAGTTCTGAGGAGGTTAAGAGCCAGACATGTAGCCTGCATTATTTATGGGATTTATAGCCTCAAGCCTACTTTAAATGCATACTACTCACCCCAAATCAACTATTAGTAGTAATCTATTCAGTATAAATTAAGAGAAAAGACAAGTTGCAACGTAATTTAAATAAGATGAGCCCATTTAAAAACATTTTATATGCTCTGAGAAAAAGAGGAGAAGGATACACATTTAAAAAAAATTTTTAACAATATTAATTTGTGAGTGGCTGGAATACTAAGCATTTCTGTTTTTTTCTACAGTTTTCTATATTCTGTAAAGCATATTCAGTAGTCAAGGGAAAATCCCAACACCAGTTTAATTAACTTAAACCTGGATTCTCATCCTGAAAGTTTGTTGTTTTTGTACTCACACCATTACTTCCAAGGAAATGAATTCAAAATTGGCAGTTTTAACCAGACCTGATAGAATCAGAGCTTTGCTTTTAAAAAA